TTAAAATAAAATTTACCAGTGTCCAGGCCCGTTACCCAGAGGGTCTCACTTAATTGGCTTGCAGTTGGGTGAATCCCGGGTAATTGTGTTTTTTCTCATGGCTTTCCATCTGATATCAATATGAGGTTAGAATGGAGAATCATTGCCCTAGGCTAGTGGTTCTCCAAGTGGAGACTACGGCCAGTAGTAAAAGCAGCCCCTTGGGTTTGTTAGAAGTGTAAGTTCTTGCGCCTGACCTCAGAACTACTGAATCAGAAACTGGGGATAGAGCCCTGCAATATCCTTCCAGATGATTCTAAAGCATGTTAAATAAATTTTGAGAACCACTGTCCTTGGTGATCCCATGCATTTCCCTGACTTGATAAACGTGTAGAAGAAACATGGCCATTTCTCGTCTTCAACCTAAATTCCTGAACATCACCTAAGTGACATTCCACTAGAGTGCCCCCCCCCCAGCATGCACCATGCTCCCAGCTCCACTCCAAATTGTTTTTCCCTCAGCCTTCTTCATCTTAGCAAATGACACCAATATCCTTCAAGTTCCTGGAGGCAGAAATGTGGAATTCATTTTTTAATTTTTTAAAAAATAGGTCATCTACTCAGGTAGCTTAAAACCCAGAAGATATTTAAAAAAAAGTAAACAATGAGAGTCTCCCTCCCACCCTCACCTCCTGTTATGGACTGAATATGACCCCCTCCAAAGTCATATGATGAAGCCCTAACCCACAATGTGACTGTATTTAGAGATAGAGCCTTTAAGGAGGTAATTAAGGTTAAATGAGGTAAGTGTGGGGCCCTAATCCAAATAAGAGAGTTGTCCTTCTTCCTCAGAGGAAGTGCATAAGCATACAGGAAAGGCCAGGTGAGGACACAGCCAGAAGGTAGCCATCTGCAAGCAAGGAGTGAGGTCTCACCAGAAAACAACCCTACCAGCACCTTGATCTTGTACTTCCAGCCTCCAAAACTGTCAGAAAATACATTTCTGTTGTCAAGCCACTCAAGTCTGTGGTATTTTGTTATAGTAGCCTATGATGGTTAATTTTATGTGTCACTTTGACTGGGCCACGGGATACCCAGATATCCAATCAGACATTATTATTCTGGGTGTTTCCTATGAGGGTGTTTTAGGATGAGATTATCGCTTAAATTGGTACACTGAGTAAAGCAGCTTACCCCCTATAATGTGAGTGGGCCTCATACAATCAGTTGAAGGCCTGAATAGAACAAAAAAGCTGACCCTTCCTCACATGAGAGAAAATTCTTCTTGCCTAATTGCCTTCAAAGTGGGACACCTGCTTCTTCCTGCCTTCAGACTCGAGCTGAAACATAGGCTCTTCCTGCGCCTTGAGGCTGCTGGCTTTCAGGTGGAACTAAACCATTGGCTGTCTTTGTTCTCAGGCTGTTAGACTTGGACTAGAACTAAACCGTCTGCTCTCCTTGGTCTCCAGCTTGCTGACTCACTCTGTGGACACTGGGACTTGGCAGCCTCCATAATCATATGAGCCAATTCCTTATAATAAATTCCCTATAATAAATTTCTTTATATATAAATATTAATGTGTAGTATATATAATATTAATATATATGTATATAATATACAAACACACACACACACACACACACACATCTTCTTGGATCAGCTTCTCTGGAGAACCCTAGCAGACTAATACATCCCCCATCTGTCCAATTCCCAGTCTTCCTCCCAGGGTAACCACTGTGCTTAGCTTCTTGTGTATCCATTCAAGTTTCTTTAGAATACATGAGCAAATAAAAATGTTATTTTTCCCCATTTTTTTTTACAGGTACACATAGGCACACACAAAAAAGTACTGTAATGAATTATATTTATGAAGATTTTGCCTGATAGCTAAAAAACTAGCATTGTCATAGTTTTGACTTTTTCTTGTTATGAGTAAAACGTAGTACCTCTTCACAGGGCCACGCCATTTGTATTTCCTTTCTCATGAGCTATCAATTGATACCTTTTGTAGATTTTTCTTTTGGATTAAAGGAAAGATCTCTCTTTGTGTGATGAGCTGAAAATACAGTTTCTCAGTTTGTCATTTCTTTGACTTTTGGGTTTTGATTAGGATGTTTCTTCTCACGCAGAATTTGTCTTTGCTTGTTTTGTAACAAAGTTAAACATTTCCATTTTTTTTCTTATATGGCTTGTGAATTTTTGAGTTATAACCAGGAAGCCTTCCTTATGCCACAGATATAAAGTATTTCCTCCTCTTTTCTTCTAAATCTGTCTTGATTTAATTTTTATATTCAACTCTTATTTCATTTGATATGGATCAAGCATGTATTCAAAGTATGAGGTATAGATTCAGATTATTATTCAGATACAGATTATTGTTTTTAGTTAGTTTCAAAACCACATGGCTACCATGTCATTCTAGCACTGTGTTGTGAATGGTCCATGTTTTCCCAGAAAGTTTCAGAAGTCATCTCTCTCAGAAACTAAATTCTCACTGTTCACGCTGTTTCTGGATTTTTCTAAAATCTAGTTTCTAGATTTTTCTAGTTCACCTATTTCCTCTTCCATTGAATTTTCTCTTAATTCACAATCCAGTATCACCTTATTTACTGAGATTTTATATTCTATTTTAATATCTCATATTAATACTAGCACTGTGGAGATACCTTGTTCTTCCTTTCCAAAGTTTTCTGAGCTGCTTTTCCCAGATACACTTTGGCTTCATCTGTCTCATTCAAACAAAACAAAAATAACAGAAATAAATTGTGGGTATTTGTACTGGGGTTCTAATCATTTTGTAAACTGTCTCAGGGAGAATGGGCACCTCTGTAATGGTCAGGCATCCTGAGAATAGGGCATCTCCCCATTTCCTCACATCTCTGAAGATTTTGTTAATGTTTTAAAAATCCTATTCACTTAGGCCGTACAGAGTTCTTGTTATTTCTCTCCCCAGTGATTTTGTTACTATTGTATGTGGGGCTCCTATTCTTTTATACTCTCTACCTGGTTGTTATGTGTGTATATAAAAGATAACAATTTCTGCATAAGAACTGGGGGGCTCATTCTTTTTTTTAAGATTTATTTATTTGAGAGAGAGAAAGCGAGAGAGAGAGAACACAAGCGGGGTGAGGTGCAGAGGGAGAGGCAGACTCCCCCCTGAGCAGGGAGCCCAATACGTGGCTCAATCCCAGGACTCTGGGATCATGACCTGAGCTGAAGGCACACACTTAACCAACTGAATCACTCAGGTGCCCCTGTGGGGCTCATTCTTGATGCCCCCTCTCTCTCATCCCCACTATAGCATCCTTCACCATGTCCTGTTGAATCTACCTTCAAAATATACTCTATACATGTCCAAATCCTGCCACCTCCACTAACCCCACCCCAGTTCAAGCCATGGGAACAACACACTACCCCTCCTCCACTCCATCCTCCACAGAGCAGCTAGAGGGATCTTTTCAAAACAACAAGAGCATCTTGTAAACCCCCTAGGGCAACCATTTCCCTGGCTTCCTTTGCGCCCAAAATGAAATGCAGACTCCTCACCTGAAGGCCCTCTATCACCTGGCTTCTGGCTCCCTGGAAACCATCTCTTTGTTCACAGAACTCTAGCCACAAGGGCTTCTTCAGGTTCTGAAACATTCCCACTTCTTTCCTATCCCAGACCTTGCCCTGCTGTTCTCTCTGCCTGGAATATTTTTCTTCCCATTCTTTAGGGGGCTGGCTTCTTAATCCCTAGGTTTCAGTTTACCTATCACTTCTCAAAGAGGTCTTCTCTGTTCTCTTCATCTACACAGTCACCCTTTTAATCTCCTCTGCAAAACTTAGAACAATGTTTAATTATGTACCTGTTCACCTATTTACTTATTCTGTGTTTGTCTTTCCCCCCTAGACTGTGAACTCCAGTGCTATCTGCAAAGTGCATGGCATATAGGATATGTTCAATAAATATGTACTGAATGAATAAGCAAGTGTCCTCTCAGTTTATATAGTCAGGGGTTGAAAATGCTTTACTTTTTTCCTGGCTACTTGGCTGTTATTCTGCATTCACATTTTATTTTTTATTTTATTTTATTTTTATTTTTATTTTTTTTGAAGATTTTATTTATTTATTTGACAGAGAGAGACATAGCGAGAGCAGGAACACAAGCAGGGGGAGTGGGAGAGAGAGAAGCAGGCTTCCCACCGAGCAGGGAGCCCGATGTGGGACTCGATCCCAGGACCCTGGGATCATGAGCTGAGCCGAAGGCAGACGCTTAATGACTGAGCCACCCAGGCGCCCCCTGCATTCACATTTTAAATCCACAGTTACTGTATATCAAATGCTTATATTCCTAAGTCACAGGCTCCCCTCAAACTCTTCTCAAAAGCCTGACTTGCCTATCATAAATCTCTTCCTGGTGTTTGTTCACAGATGCGAATACGTATAAAGTTATTTTCAAATAATGAAACACGTATTGAATGTGACAGAAACAGCTGAAGTTATGCCTAATTTATAAGAAAAATTTCCCTAAGGATGGTGATACCCTAATATTTTCTTTATATATTATCTTTTTACTTTAAAATTTTTTTCTCATTAAAGAAAATTATATTTTCTTGTTGTGAAAATTATTAAAAATATGGAAATGGGTATCATAGAAATGTAGAAAGAATAAAAGATTTCCATGATCCCCAGCCCCAGAGATCACAGTCCTATGGTCACGTTTGATGAATACCCATCTTCCTAGATTTTTTTTTCTATGCATATCCTGTTCTAGCACAAGCTGAGATCTTGTTATTGCTATTTTATTTTGTTTTTACTACTCTAGGACCCAATTAGACAAACAACTCTGCAACTTATTTGCTTAATAACACACCTTGAACATGTTTGTGTGCTAACACACAGCTCCTTTTACTCTTCAATAATTATCTAATATTTCATTTACCATCTCTTGATGGTTGCCTTCCCTTTTCACCTGACCAGTAAAGTGGGGAGGAGATGCTCTTGAATTGTGTCATCTTTTTTTTTTTTTTTTTTTAGGACCTCTGCCACTCCTTGACCTAAGGACCAAAATCACCGCTCATGGAGTCATTTCTCTACTGTGACCTCCGTTTTGTCAGAAAAGGTACCTTAGAGCAAATAGAAATTCTGTGAGGTACAGATTTGCATTCAGAATTAATGAACTGAGTGATCCACTGTAAGAAACGTTGATTTAAAAAATTTACACAGGTGCATTTGTGTGGCCTCCTGTAAGTAGCATTCTGGCACCACCACCACCAAGGTACGGTTGCCCGAAAGAAAATCCTACCTCCAAACCCTCGCTTCTTGTAACTGTGCCTCTTGCACAGAGCTCAACAGGAGCTGAAGTTTATTCCAGTTCTGCTTGCCGTGAATGCCACCAATAGGTACTGTCAGACCTGTTTTTGAGTGGGGGGAAGAAAAGTGCAAAGCCAATTATTTTGCCAACATCTGATAGGGACTCGACAAGGCACTAATTGCTAGGCTTGCATTTCAGGAAGCAACCTATTCTGTGCTCTTGGTGCCAATTAACACAAAGGTAGTGCGTGGTGAATATGCCACTTACAACTGGCACTCATTTGCTGTCACATAATCTTGCCAGGTCAAGCTGGGACATGCGACACATTGACGTTTTTGCACATTAATTTGGAAAATGAAGGTATTCCTCCTTGCCCCCAGCCTCTCTCCATTGTTCTTGGTGGTCACAGGAGCTGAGATATTTTGAGAAGTTCTTGGAAAACCTTCTTTGTACTGGGCCCCCACATAAGCTCCTCGTTGGCAATTCAAACCCTGAAGTTATACAACTTCAAGGCAAGCCTCTTGGCCAAGTGCTGTTTTTATAGTGAAGTTTTTATAGTGAAGACCACAGAGCAGCCTGAACCACACTAAGATGCTGGGCTGAACTGAGGGCCATGGGAGTTTATAAAAATGGTCAGGGCCATGAGACCACTGAAGGACACTAATGTTGTCAAGGGCCAGTCTTACATTTAGGTGAATGAGTGGTTTAGCATGCTGGAAAGACATTTTCCTCCTCGGTATCCACTTGGCTTGCTGTTCAGAATTCCATCATTTCTGATTCCCTAAACCAAAACCCGTATTGGCCTCCTCCCCAGTTAGCCTGATATCTGAATTTCTCCCAATGTCAGGATTTCCACTCTTTGAGATTGTATTCCTGAGCATAAAAATGTATCCTGTATTAAGCTTAATAGAGCTTAAATACATATGAGAGTCAGTATAATGTCATTGTTTAAGCGTATCAGCCTTAAAATCAGAAAGCCTGGCTTTGAGGGGCGTCTGGCTGGCTTAGTCAGTAGAGCATGTGACTCTTGATCTCAGGGTCGGGAGCTCAAGCCCCACATTGGGTGGGAAGCCTACTTAAAATAAAAATTTATATATATATATATATACACACACATATATAATTTATGTGTGTGTATATATATATATACACACAAACACACACACACACATAATTTTTTACAGGAAAGAAAGAAAGAAAAAAGTCTGGCTTTGATTCCCTACTCACTAGCTCTGCAACATTGGGTAAGTTATGTATCCTCTCTTTGCCTTCATTTCCTCCTTGAAAAGTGGGGCTAAAGGCATTCCTGTTTCATTGGGTTGACAGGAGGATTGAATACAGTATTTTCCATTGTGCCTAGAAATAGAAAGCCACTGTTAAGGTATGCCATTATTATAATAAATACCATTAGGACAGACAAGTCATTAAGCATCATCGGCTGAGGAAATTACTTTTTTGCATGTGTAAAAATTGCTTGCCATACAAAAACAGGTTTTTTAATGTTTAGAGGGAAAATTATGTTTTGATTATTTAAAAGTTCTGCCAGGAAAACAAAAGGCCCCGGGCCGGAAAAAATGCTAGATAGGACTTATATGCTAGAATTGCTAATTTAAGCAGAGTATGAGGGAGAGTAAAGCTGTTTTTAAAAATGGAAATAATTTGGGCGCCTGGGTGGCTCAGTCGGTTAAGCGACTGCCTTCGGCTTAGATCATGATCCTGGAGTCCCGGGATCGAGTCCCGCATCAGGCTCCCTGCTCAGCGGGGAGTCTGCTTCTCCCTCTGACCCTCCTCCCTCTCGTGCTCTCTGTCTCTCATTCTCTCTCGCAAATAAATAAATAAAATCTTTAAAAAAAAATGGAAATAATTTGAAAAGGACAAAGGGACTCACAGCAAGTATAAGTGTAGAAGAAATACATAGTCAAGGAAATATTAGCACACACATGATTTTTTTTTCCTTTCCCAGTAGGAGAAAGGCTCATAACTTGGTGAAGGAGGTTAACAGGGAAAGGGGTGCTAGGTTGACAGCACCCTTCTCTGTCAAACTGAATCGGAAATCACTCTTCCTCACTAGCAAGTGGGTTAGAGTGAGGCCACTGATTTGAACAGAGATCGCTTACTTATGCCAGTCACTAAGCCAAGATTTTCATTGATCAATTCATTGTCACACCATCCCTTTGAGGCAGGTAATTATGAGTACCCTGTTTTATACCCTGTTTTCAGGATATAAAAAGGATATGGAAACTGCCATAGCATTGGTCTCTTACTTGTCATGCTCAGGATCCTGAAGTAGCCATCAGGGAAAGCCTAGCTCTGAAAGTTTCTACTCCTGAAGAAAGGAATCATGATAAGATTCTAATTAAAGCAAGTCTTCCCTCTCATGAATAATGATACCACAAAATACAGAGACTATGTCAATTATTCCTGGGGGTTCCTTTATGTGTGTGTGTGTGTGTGCATACACGCTGTGTTGTGTATGAAAGAATGACTTTCATTAGTTAAAAGAAACACCGGCTCTGAAAGCTAGAAATAATTTGGGGGCAATAGTTAACTCATTCATTTAAGAAACATTTATTAAGTGCCTGTTACATACCACCAAGGGGATACAGTGGGAGATTGATTTGCTCCTTGCACTCACAGCAACAAGAAGTGTGAAACAAAGTATGACAGGAGAATTTCAAGGCTCAGGGGGCATATAACAACCCAGTGCATCTCAAAATACTCTAAGAATTATCAGATCCCATGACAGCATATATATAACCCATGTCTGTGTTGAATGTGCTCTTTCACAAAATGGTGACATTGTATTTGCACACATTATATTACTTTCTGATTTGGCTTCAGTTTCCAGGCGGTTTGGATATAAGCTAGAAGTCCAGTATTTCTAAATCATTTGTAGTTATGAGTTGAACCCTAGGTCTGAAAGTCTCATTCCACAAGGTATCAGAGGGAATGGAACAAGGATTTGAAGACCAAAGAGTCTCAAACGAATATTAGCAGGTATCATCTGGGGCTCCACAGCCTGGACAAGAGCAAAAGTATGGTCTTCCGGAACGACAAGTAAGCAAGGAACACCTGGTGAGTTAATATAATAACTTTGCAGAACTGCCACAAGCTAGTCATGAGTATCTAGAACCACCTTGCAGACTGGAACTATGACTTTCAAAGTAGGCTTAAGAGAAGTTATTTAGAACTTTAGATTTAGCATTAAAAGAAAAAGTTCTTTTCTTTTTTGGGGGGGGGAAGAGAGGGAGAGTATTCACATGAGGGAGAAGTAGAGGGAGAGGGAGAGAAAGAATCTTAAGCAGCCTCCATGCCCAGCACAGAGCTCAACACGGGGCTGGATCTCATGACCCTGAGATCATGACCTGAAACGAAATCAAGAGCCCAATGCTCAACCAACTGAACCACCCAGGCACCCCAGAAAAAAGTTCTTAAAGGTGGTATTCATCAGGCTAAGTGTAAAGGCTGAATGATCAAAAACAATTCAGTGAACAGTTTCATATTACCAGGCTGTTCTGGTTAATGGAGATCATGAGCTTTGGGGGTAAAATGACCACAGTTCAAATCCCAACTCATCACACATTCTACCTCTGTAATGCTGGGCAAATCACTTCACTTCCTGAGTCTTATTTTCATCATACGTAAAACAGGGACAGTAAACCCCAGATGGCAGGGCTGCCAATGAGGATTAATTCGCATACAGTACCAACTCAAGAAAATCTTGTGCTATCATTAATAACAGTAAAACTCATATAACTTTTGGTATACTAGTAGTATACAATTATAACTTTCTCTACATTTCCCTTTACTTGAAGTAAGTATTTGGAAGACTTTATAAAATACAGTAGGGTCCTTCACCCATGTGGCAAGAAAAGATGACAGTTTTTCCCTCCCTCCACTATGCAAACATGGGACTGGATCAGCCAGCGCACTGCTGGAGGTCAGAGTGGGGACATCACCCATCCCCTGCTTAGTGCTTCATCCACCGGAAACCTGTCTAACTCAGTACCCTGGCTTATCTATTCCAGAAACCACCCACTGCTGACCACTCAGGAAACTATTCACTTTAATTCTGGATCCTGGGCTTTCCCTATCATTCGGGTGTGGGTTTTCCTTTCTGTGGAAATAGATGGCTTCACTTCAGTTCTCCTTCCTGCTGTTTCCAGCGATGTTCTGCTAATAAAGTCACTTGTGATGTCATGTCTTGCATTTCCATTGGCCAGCTTATCTCTCCCTAGGGACTAACGCCAATCATCACTCCTCTGGGATACCGTTTTCGTGAAAAATCAGCCAAAGAGGTCTTCCACTTAACCTACAATAACGTTCACTTCCAGTAAAGCCTGGGAGAAGGAAATACACTAAGAATTCTCTCTCTGTTAACTCTAGGTGACCTCCAAAAGCTCTGCTTCTTTTCAAGCAAACTTTTGTGATGGGCCAGTTTACTGAAGAATCCACTTTTCTCCCCGAACTCAAGTAATTCTATATTCCTATTTATAAAACTATCCTCTAAACTGCACACATGTATTTGTATAAAATAAGGAATCTATTTACCATTCAGTAAATATTTGAGCACCTACTATGTACCAGATTTGTTCTAGGTGCCATGGAAAAAGTGAAATATCAGTGAAATAACTAAGATGATTATCACGAAATACTCAGCATTAGAAAAGGAAGTTAGAGAGCCAAAGAAAAATTGTACATAGAAGAGAAAGTTGAGGCAATTCTCTACATGGTATTAGCCAACCTCTCCCAAACCAGACCCCTAAAACCCAGCCATGCTTTTGATGACTCCTTTATTCATTATATATGATAGTGATTATCAACTTAGACTAAACTGCTGAAACAGAATTTGAATCCTATCTTTCACTAATTAAGGGACCTTTGTCAAATCATCTCACCGCTTTAGACCTTGCTATCCTTATGTGTAAAATGAAATTACTAATACTGCCTACCTCATAGACCTGTTATAAGAATTAAATGCTGTATATTTGTACACGGTCTGGCACATGATAAATACTCAAAACATGTTGATGATGATGATTCAGACAAAAGATTTGGACCTGAATTATTTAGATAGTTTGGACCTGAATTATTTAGATAGTTCACTCCACTGTCCTACACTATGATTTCAAACCTAAGATTTTTTAAGCCTTGTTTACAGATGTAAATTCAGAGGCAAGATAATACAATTGAGAAAGGATGAATAGACTCTCACTGAGGATGAGACTTTCAGAAACCCAGAGTCTTGGTCACGTCACAAGGTCACCAAGAGATACTTTGTATTTTCCTTTCTTGTCAGCTCTTATGGAGATGACTGGGTTGTATCAGGAGCAATTTTAAAGAAGAGTAAACAGAGTTTATCTTTTAAAATCAAGTCCTAGAAAGGAAGCTAAGAGAGAGAATACACTAAGGAGACTTCTGTCCCTACACATAATAATTTCTATACTATCAGCTTAACTTTATCAGGAGAGTTTATATTGAAAGAGAGAAAATTTGTTTAATAGAAAATATTGAAAAGTGCTTTGTTTTTTTATCCTTTATAAACTTTATTTTTCTTATGGACATGAAACTCACATATAATAATATATTAGTTTCAGGTATACAACATAAAGCTTCAATATATGCAGATATTGTGAAATGATCACCACAGTAAGTGTAGTTAATATCCATCCCTACCCATAGTTACAATTCTTTCTCTTGTGATGACTTTTAAGATATACTCTCAGCAACTTTCAAACATACAAAGCAATACTGTTAACTATAGTTATTGTGCTACTGTGCTACATTACATCCCAAGACTTATTTATCTTAAAACTGGAACTTTTTACCTTTTGACCGCCTTTGCCCAGTTTGCCCACCCCCTACCCACACCTCTGGCAACCACCAATCCATTCTCTGTATCTATGAGTTCAGTTTTTTGGAGTTTTTTTTTTTTTTAGATTCCACATGTAAGTGGGATTATATGGCATTTGTTTTTCTCTATCTGACTTATTTCCCTTCACAAAATGCCCTCAAGGTCCATTCACATTGCCACAAACTTTCCTTCTTTTTTATGGCTGAATAATATTCCATTATATATGTACCACCATTACTTTATCCATTCATCCATTGATGGACACTTAGGTTGCTTCCACATCTTGCCTATTGGTAGTAATACTGCAGTGAGCATGGGGATGCAGATAACTTTTCAAGTTAGTGTTTTTGTGTCCTTCAGATAAATACCCAGAAGTAGAATTGCTCGATACCATGGTAATTCTATTATTAGTTTTTAAAGGAACCTTCCTACTGTGTTTCTGGCTGCACCAATTTACATTCCCACCAACAGTGCACAGAGATTCCATTTTTTTCATATCCTCACCAAACTTGTTATTTCTTGTCTTTTTAGTAATGGCCATTTTAATAGGTGTGAGGTGATAACTCATTGTGGTTTTGATTTGCATTTCCCTGATGCTTAGTGATGTTGAACATCTTTTCATGTACCTGCTGGCCATCTGTATATCTTTTTGGAACAATGTCTTTTCAGATCCTCTGACCATTTTTTTAATTGATTTTTTTTTTTTTTTTTTTGCTACTGAGTTGTATGAGCTCTTTATATACTTTGGATATTAACCCCTTATCCGGTATATATGATTTGCAAATATTTTCTCCCACTATATAGGTTGCTTCTTCATGGTGTTGATGTTCTTTGCTTGCAGAAGCTTTTTAGTTTAATGTAGTCCCACTTGTTTATTTTTGCTTTTGTTGCCTTTGCTTTTGGTATCAAATCCAAAAAGTCATCACCAAGACCAACATCAAGGAGCTTACCCCTGTTTCTTCTAGGAGTTTTATGAGTGCAGGTCTCAACACTCAAGTCTTTAATCCCCTTTGAGCTGATTTTTGTAGATGGTGTAAGATAAGGATCCGGTTTCATTCTTTTGCGTGTGGCTGTCCAGTTTTCCCAATATCATTTATTGAACAGATTGTCCTTTCTCCACTGTATATTCTCGGCTCTTTGCCATAAGTCAATTGACTGTATATGTGGGTTTAGTCCTGGTCTCTCTACTCTGTTCTTTTCAGTTATGTATCTGTAAAAGTACTATATTTTTGAGTAATTTTACAGTAAAAGTTCTAGAATATTTTCCATCGGAATCAACTAATAGTTTCATTTTGTAATAGTTTTTCCATTCCTTGCTAAGTTTGGAACTCCCAGATACTGTGATTGGGAGGAATTTTATTACATAATGAAAAGAAAGGTTGTGTTTTAGAATACACGTATTTTAGTAAATTATTTTGAAGGTTTAAGAAAAAGATCTAAATGTCATCCTTTAAAAATCTTTGCACTTTACAGGTGTTTCTGTTTTCCCATCTTTATACTGTTTATACTCATTATAAATTCCAGTAATACAGTTAGACAATGGCACCATTGGTCCATTTGGGTCAACAACTTTTTTAGGAATTACCAAGTCATTTTTCCCTCTACCAAGAGAAATACATGCATTAATATTTCAAGAGTAGAGGACACTTCTAGCATACTGCTACATGGTCCCTGGTGGTGATAGTCTTTGGTATTTCCAATTCAGAGTGTCAGCCTACTAAGTAACAGAAAACTCCAGTTCTGGGACACTTTCCTTTCTCTTGAAATTAGTGAAATTAGCACACCCTAACTTCTTTCTGAGGGCCGGTGAAAGAAAAAGTACTTTTGAACCACCCAGGATTAAACAGTTCTCCCTCGCTCTCTCTCCCTCCCTGCTCCTCCCTCCCTCCCTTCCTCTCACTCACACACACGCTCACACACAGCCTCCCTGCTCCGGCTTGTCTAACTTCCAAATTTGCATCCCAAGGCGAGGTAGGTGTAGCCTGAAGTGTGAGCTGTGAACTACTCCAAGCATCTCTCTGGCGAAAAGGAAGAAATGATTGAGAAATCCCTCCCCAGACTGGTGCTTCCCCCCCCACACACACACCGCCACCCCCCGCTCGTCCCCACCCCGGCCCGGGTCCACTACCGTCCCCTAGCACTCCGCCATCACTCCCCTCTCCCCCGTATCTCTAAACCCAGTCTGGGCACCAAAGTCCCCGCCCCCTCTCGCTGCCAAGAGCAGTTCTTAACCTTTTTTGGGCCGGGGACCTACAAAAAGCTATGGACCCTCTCCGGATGGGGACAGAGGTTGGGAGAAGAAAACAGCTTGACAGCTTTGCGAAATTTTCAAAAGACTGTGGATCTGAAACGCACCCCGAACTTCCAGATTAAGAACCCCATCTCTAAGACTCTTGACTTAGGGCGATCAGCTCGAGAGTGGAACTCAGATATCACATTTCGTCCCCAGTGAGAAACTGTAGGAGGGGGAAGGCGCTCCGGCACTGGGCCACTTTCACTTGTAAGAAACCAAACGAAGGGGAGAGACAGGGACAGAAATTCATAAAGGGGGAAAGAGAAGAGGGAGAGGGCTGTTATGAAGACAAGGAGACAGAAGGGAGGAAAGAGAAAAGGGAAAGGAGAAATAGGGGAAACGGGGGCACAGTGGGAGGGGAGGCGACACCGCGCTGAGAGAACCGGGACAGGGCGGCACAGAGAGGCGAGGGCGAGGAAGGGAAAAGAGAGCTTCTGAAGGGAGAGAGCGAGCAGAGGGAGGAGAGGCGGAGAGGAGAGGGGTCCAGAGGCAGAAACTGAGAGCGCCGGGAAAGGGAGAGAACTTTCTCTGCTCTCCCTCCCCAGGGCAGGGAGTCTCAGAAAAGCCGCTCTCCACGAGGTGGCGGGGAGCGCGAGCGGCCGGCCCCGAGCTCCGGGCGCCTCTGGCCTCCGCCTCCTGCAGCCCGCGGCCGGCTGCGAGACTCGCACGGGCAGCCGAGGAGGGGACTCCGTCTAGGAGGCGGTCCCCACTCGCTTCGCTTTCTCCTCCCCTCTCCTCCTGGAGGCGGGCACCCGGGGTATTTGAGCGGCGGAGGACCCGCGGCCCCCCCGCCTCCGCCCCCCAGCCCCCCATTCAAGAAGCCGCTCCGCTATCCCCCGCAGCACAGGGCGCCCGGCGCGCCTCGGAGCGCACGTTCCGCGCCTTCTCCTGCCGGCTCCCTGGACATTATGCGGCCGAGCAGCCGAGCCCCAGCCCTCCTCCTCCTCCGGCTCCTCCTGCGGCCCGAGCGGCTCAGCTCTCGGCAGGCGGCGGCGTTGCTCAGCCGAGCGCAGACGGG